CATATATAAGTAAAGATATCGAAAATAATATTAGTATTATCCAAGATACATAATATAAGTAAGGTGATGAATAATATACCCGTGATCATAATTTACAAATTTAGTATTATTTAGGATTGTTTCTTAATAAGATTTTCCGTAAATTTTGTTAATGATCATATATAAGTAAGGTGATCAATAATATATACTCATGGAATTAAGACAAATAAGTAAGGAATCAAAAATACTATTGGAATTTCTATTAGTATATGTACTCTATTTATTTCAACCTATATATACACGAATTTCCATTAATAAATCTTTGTTACTTATTAATTTAAGCATGAAATTTATAAATATGAAAGTAAGATAAAGGATTAATATATGTAGCATGGTTCTAAAATTCTATTTAAGTTAAATGAAAAATATTATTATTTTTTTATTTTTTAAATAGTATTTATATTTTTTCGTATTTATTTTTAATTGTTTATATTATCCTCGTAATAGGAGTTCGTATTATTGTAATCTGAAAACATATATTAACATATAATATTATTGATTATCCAAGACACATAATTAAGGATTTCCATATATAAGTAAACGGATCCAAAATAATATTAGTATTACCGACCATAAATAATATAATTAAGGTGATGAGTAATATACTCGTGATCATCATTTTCAAATTTAGTATTATTTAGGATTGTTTCTTAATATATTTTTTTTGTAAAAAAAAATTCTAATTTCCATTAATATAGGTACTCTATTGATTTTAACTCTTATTATACACGAATTTCCACAATAAACCTTTGTAACTTATTATTTAAGTATGTAATTTTTAAATATGGAAGTAAGATAAAGGATTAATATATGTAGCATGGTCCTAAAATTCTATTTAAATTAAATGAAAAATATTATATTTGTTTTTAAATAGTATTCATATTTTTTCATATTTATTTTTAATTATTTTATATTATCATCACAATAGGAGTTCGTATTGTTGTAATATGAAGGAAAGAATTTCGTTGAAAGCCAGTGATTATCGCGTAGAAAATCTGCGGTCAATTGTTTCCAACAGGAGATCTGCTGGTGCATCGTATATAATTTATTTTCGCTGGTTTACTTGGATATTACGTGGCGTGCTGACATGTTTAAATTTTGCCACATAGACATGCCAAATGTCGAATTTCTGTGCATCGGAATCTCCTTTATTATATTAAAGCATTTTTTCTATTATTACATGGCTTGCTGATGTGTTTCATTTTTTGCCAAATGTCGCATTCTCGTGCATCCGAGTCTCCTTTATTATAATATAAAGGATAAAGGATTACGTTAATTATCATTTAAATATAGTTAGTTTACACACTTTAACTCGTTAGGCTAGTAGAAATAATGCATTTATGACTTATTTTTCCGTCTCGGCCCACACCATGAAATTCTTAGAGCAGATCTTGAATTTGAAAAGGGAGGGAGTAGTAAATTAGAATAAAAAGTTAAAAAAGCTTTTTTTTAGCTTTAAAATTTGCAACCATCTTCGGCATTACAATTGGTTTAAGGGGGGTTTGGAAGTAATCAATCTTTGGAAAAAGTGATTATTTTAACCACATAATCTATAAGCATGTTAGAGTAGCTTCTCAACTTTTGCTTTTTCATCTTTAAAAAAGTCAAGAATCATAGAGGCTGTTTGGCACTGCAGTTCTTTTTAGAATTTAGCTTCTGCTTTAAGTAATAATCATTTTATTTTGTTTGTTGTACCAATTTTTACTTTCCTTCATCATCATTTTATACATAGAACACAATTTCAGAGAAGCAGATATATGATGCTTCTACTATCAACTTTTATAAAAATTACTTTATCCACAAATTAATCACTCTCAAACATATTCATAGTGTTCCAACACTCCAAAGTGATTCTTTTCAGAGTAGAAGTTAGAAAATCATTTGTAAAAAGCTTAGTCAAACACTTTCTAAGTAAGGTTTCAAACTTTTAATGCTGGGGTAGAATATTGCGTGGTTTAAACCGAAACGAGAATGGGAAAACTAAAACAAAATAAGGAAATAAAGCCAAAAAAAGAAGAAGGATGAAAGCAAAAACACACGATAAATGGCTGCGATTTGGAAAATAAGAGTACAATGCAGAAAAAGAGAAACTGCGAGATCACGCGACGGGGGAGATGGCAATGCAGCGTGGGAATCAACCGAAAACAGGCCGCATTTGAAGCGAAGCGAGTCTCTCTCCAGGGAGAGAAGAGAACGGAGAGGGGGGCGAAAAATGCGGGGAGAGACGAGATGACGAACGTCCGATGCGCCACGTGTCGGCATGCGACTGGCGGATGGCCGGCTCGTTTCCCGCAAGTCTCCCAACAATGTCAGTGCGGTATGTTTGCGAGTTGGGTGATGTGGAAACACTCCCTCCCCACCCACCCCCCGCCCCCACCTGGGAATCCGTATAGGTATGAACCCCACCCCTCCCTTTCTCTCTCTCTCTAGAGACTCATTTTCCCTCACTTTCCACCGCTCTCTCTTTCTCTCTCCGTCTCAGTCGAATACCCTAATCGCCCAATCTCCTCTTTGCTGCGCGTAGCCCCTCTGGTTCGTTTTGATCGCTTTGGAGGATTGGTATGCCCTGTTCTCAACCTGGGTCTGTTGATTTTTGAGTGTTTTAGTGGTTTGGTTGCAATTTCAGCTGATTCTGGTGTGTTTCCCCCCCGGTTCGCTCTCGTGTGGGTACTTTCTTGATTGTTTGGAATGTTGTGGGGTGTTTTTGGTCTTTGGGGAGCTAGAATGCTCTGACAGGGCTGGGACTGTGAATTGGGGGTAAAAAATTTATATTCGTTTAAGCTTAAGCAATTCTCTTGCAAAATGAAAGGGATCTAGTTATGCATAACAGCACAAGTATTTCCCTGCAAGTATTTTAGAAGTAATATGATCACTTTATGAGTTTATGGTAGTTTCCTTTATGGTTTACACTAAATATGGTTCCTTTATGTCTTTTTTCCATGCTCTCTCTCCCTCCATATATTTATCCGAACATTTTAGGACCTTTCTTGGAGGATTCAATTATTCAAATAAATACTGATGATATGCACATATTGCTGCAAACTACTCAAACATTTCCTCAAATGCAGTTCTGAAATGTACACACCTTTTTTCAAGCAATGAAAGAAGATGTTGCAGCTGCTAGCAAAATGCTTAACAAAAACTGGGTCTTGAAACGCAAACGCCGAAAGATTCCATCTGGCTTGGATTCATCAACTGTCAAGGAAGAACACTCTGACCCCCCTGAAGCGGCATTTAATAATGCTTCGTCTGAACACGGGGTGAAAGATGAAATTACCTCTTGCCGTTCTTCGAGCAAGAAAAGAGGAGACGACGGGGTGGGTTTTCTTTATGTACATTTTCTTGTTTGTGTTACGAGTATTACTTTTTGGCAATTTATACACTGAAATAAAAGTCTTGAACAGTAGAAGGTAAGGAGGATCTCTTTTAGAATGAAATCAGAGATTGCCCAGTATAGGAGTCATGAATGCCTACTGAAGCTTCAAAGAGTAAACTTAGTCTTTAGGGATAAAAAAGTTCTAGCAATCATTTTTTCCTGCTCTCTTGGTTTCATTTTTTTGTCTCTTCAATTTATGATGTTAACTTGTGCATTCGTTTGATATAAAAACTTTTGTTGTTCAAATAAGTACACTAAGTTTAACAGTGATACACATGTCAAATGATGAGATGAAATGACAATAAGTTTTAACTTTAGTGCACTCAGATGATCAAATTTTTACTTTAGTGCACTCAGTTGATCTAAGCACTTTTTTTTTTTGGTTTCCCAGTACTATTATGAGTGTGTTGTGTGTGATCTTGGTGGAAATTTATTGTGTTGTGAGAGTTGTCCCAGAACCTATCACATTCAGTGTCTTGAACCACCGCTTAAGGTATGTTTGCAACTGATTTGAGTATATTTATTCCTTGCAATTTAATTGCATGTTTTTAATTTTTTCTATGTATGTCTCTGCAGCATATACCAACTGGAAAATGGGAATGTCCGAAGTGTCATCAGAAGATGGAGTCCCCTGGGCCTACAAGTTATATAGATTCTGATTCAAAACGAGCCAGAACAAAGGTTACTATTGGGGAATCAAAAAATGAGAATAAACCATCTGGAAGTACTAAACTGTCTAAAAATATAGGAGGTTCCGTTCTTGATAATCAAAGATTTTCAAGTAAAGTAAAATCTTCTTTGTCTCATCGAGTAAGAAAGGATAAGCATTCATCCCTAAAAAATGTACTTTTGAAGACTAAACTTAACCATCCTTCAGGAGATGGTACTGCTGGGTGCAGTCCATCAACTGTGAGCATTGAAAATGTGCCAACAAAGAAGGCATCTATTGCCTCTGCTAAGGGAGTTACATCTCTATCAAATGCATTGAATTTGAAGAAGAATGAAGAAGCTTCTATGAGAAAGCATCAGTTGCCATGCTCTGATAAATCTCCCACAGATGAATGTGCCACTTTAATGGATTCCGCTTCACGCAAAGAAAGGAAAAGAAAACATGGAATCTTCGCAGAAGACGGTGGAAAGAAGCATAGACGTGTCAAGTCCAAGGATGTGGCCAAGTCTGAAAAAAGTAAATCGGACACAAAAACTCTGCCACGCACCAATAAAGCTAAAAGGAAACTCATGTCAATTAACCGCGAACCTTCTGCAAGTATGACAAAACAGGATGTTAGAAAGGAGATTGTCAATGAGCAGCTTAAAGAAGAGGTATATCGTATATGGCTATATGCTTCAATTGATGCTAATGATACTATGTACCATCTTTGTTACTTGCTAAAAATACTATAATTACTTGGAATTATTGATTACAATAATCCCATCTATGGGCGCTTGGGCGGTCTGCTTTTATTAAATCCAATTATAGATTATTTTGTATAATCCTCCATCTGCCATTATTGGTCCTTGACATGTTTAAACTTGTTAGAACTACAGCCAGGATCTTTTGAAATTTTAAATTGGTCTGCTGTTTACATATTTTGCACTATGCCCGCTCTGCTTTTGTTAATCACAATTATCAGTTACTCCATATTTCTTTATTTCCTTTTATGTCCATTTGTTCTATAAAGTTTATTAGGCAAAGGGGCCCCTCTTTCTACTTAAATTTTGCCCGATAGACTATTCTTACTGGGTGTTGTTTGCATTTCACACTTCTCCCACAATGTTTTAAATTTTCCATTTCAGTTTGGTTCATTCTGCAAGTCCATTTATAACTCAATATTTCAAGTTTAATGTAATTTTTGTGTTTTTGACTCATTTGGCACCAATACTTTGGAGGTTGTAGAAAATTTCGTTTTCTTAAATTTGTTTCTTGTACCGATACTTTGATATTTTCTATTTTAATGAAATAATATATTCTAATAAAATAATGAAATTTGCATGCACATTTCTCATATATATCTTTGGAAACATATACAGAAAATTTCAAAATTATCAAGATATGTTATGTGATCTTTTGTCTAACCACAAATATCTATAGATATTTAGTGATATTTCGTTATATCATAAATTAAAGAATGGAACATTGTTAATAGCTTTTGTATGTCTCCATTATTTGGATACCTCAAAGTCCAATAATTCCAAACACATAGTCTCATAATAATAAAGGCCGAGATATATCATTCAATGGATTGGGAAAAGAGGATTTCTAGCCGAATGAAGATGTGTGTGCTGCCATGATAATTTTTAATTGGAGCAATAAGTTACCATATTCCCTCCTTTTTGGAATAAATAAAAATGGACTGAACATACTTCAGATGACTGTAAGTGTTCCTTTTTTAAAAATAAAACGATGGGACCAAAATTGGCAGAGTGAGTCCATAGTTGGGATTATACAAAAACGATAGCAATTGCGATTAACAAAAATGCACCGCCCATAGTTGAGATTATTGTAGTCAAAGTTTCCCAATTAATTTATATTTGCTACCGTAAATTTGTCATTAATACATTATACACTTTCCAAAATTGGACTAGTTATTGTTACACATGAAAAGAGTCTTGATTAGATTTTGTTTTGTTTTGTTTCTTGATGAGTTATAAGCAAATGAGTTTAAGTTACATTTCTTAACATTAAATACGGTTTCACGGAGTTTATACACTTTGCAAAATTGGACTAGTTATTGTTACTCATGAAAAGAGTCTTGATTACATTTTGTTTCCTTTGGTTTCTTGACAAGTGATAAGAAAATGAGTTTAATTTACCTTTCTTAACATTATATACGGTTTCATCACGTCAAGTAATTAAACCTTTGTTTTGATGAGTAGAAAAAATGAGGGGAGAGAAATGGAAAGAAAGAAATAGAGAAGAGAAAATAAAGAGAAAAACTTAATTGTTTGGATGAGTAGAAAATGAAGAGAAAATGAGAAGAAAAGAAAAGGGATACTTTCTTTCCTTTGTTGGATAGAGAAACAAGAGGAAAGAAAATGTAATGATGTAAAATGACCTTTTTGTACAAGAGGATAAAATAGTTTCAAATATTTGAAGGGCAAAGAAGTAATTTTAAATGTTCTCTTCACCCATACACTTTTCTCTTCTTTGACGGAGAGAAAATATTTATCATGGCCGAACCCTCTTTTTTCTCTTCTGTCCCGATTTTCTTTCTCAGCCAAACAAGGGAAAATGCCTTGAAATTTTTGCTTTTCTCCACCCTTTTTCTTTCTTTGCATTTTCTCTCCATCCAAATGGCTTGGGCACCTGGAATGAGATAACTTCCCGGAATAAGTGAATATGTTGTTTTGTCTGATGCCCTTCTATGGGAAAAACAATGTAGAAAACACCTTATTCAGGGTCATTCTAGGATCTGGTGTTTAGTTTTGTCGTCCTCTCCGCAACTGTTAAGAAGTCGTTTAGGTGCCCCCCCTTCCTCCTTCCTTTTTTAGAGTCTGGACATTCATCCTAGACTTCAGTTTAGGAGAGACTTGTTGGATGGAGGGAGCATTATGGTGTTTAGTTACATCTGATGGAAAGTACCTTGTGAATATATGTATATAACAATAGATTTTGCATTACATTTGACCTACAGGCTACAGGCCTAGAGGAGTTTGTAGTGTCTGTCATTTTGGATGATTCCCAATAAGTTGCAACAAATTATATTTATTTGCACTGCAGATGATTAATTAATATCACCTCTTATAATTTATCCATTTTGTTAAGATTTGCATTAAAATTCAAAAGATATCTATGAGCTATGATAGTTTTTAATTCCAATATGAAATACTTAATTAAAAAGATTTAATTTTTGAGTTGCTTTTTTAATTGCCTAGGCTGTGATTTGAATATATATATATATATATATATATATATATCTGTGTGTGTGTATAAAGTATATATCCGTGTGTGCATATGTATATGTGTGCGTGCGTGCGTGCGTGTGTGTGTGTATATACATATATGATATTTTTCTATTTTTATTTTTAATTTTTAGCCTTGTTACTATTATTCCTGCATCATTCGTTCTGGTTACATTCACTTTGTAGGTAGTGTCTGAGGAAGCATCCCTCCCATCCAATGAATTGGGAAAAGTTACAGTTGGACCACTCACATATGCAGAAATTGGTGTTGATGTTCAACAGGTACAGTTGGTGAATGATATAATGTTATACTTGCATGTGCTACTTTAGTGTACCAGATGCATAGAAATATCCTTCCTGCTGATTCATTAAACAGGAGGAAAAAACATGAATTCTCAGAAAAGAAAAAGAAAGAAAAATGTAGGAACTGAATATTACTCAAATGCAGGTTGATAGGGTACTGGGTTCCCGAGTTCAAGACGTTGATACACGAAAATCATGGAGTAATGTTGGAACGACTTTGAATGGTCATGCGCAGTCAGAGGGTTCCCCTGTTCCTAAAGATTCCAATAAGCTGAATGACAGAAATCCCAGCTGTGTTGTAGGTTGCAATGAGATAGCTTCCAATGATGGCCCTGATGATTGTCCTGATCAAGCAAGGAACACAAAAAATGATGTTCGAAACGATAGCACTCAAGGATACAGAAAATCAGCGATCAAAGAGTTTAAAGGTGTTAATTCCGCAAGCACAGAAGATGAGTGCTTCGTAGATTACCATGTGAATGCAGAAGAATCTACTAAAACTAATGAGAGAACTCCAAACAGAAGTGATTCCTATGCGGAGAACCATGATGGTACTGGAAATATGGAATGTTCTGAAGATCTCGCCTCTAATCTACTAGCAAGTGCGAAGGTGGCTGATACAGTTTTGGCTGCCAGTAGCGTGAACCAAAAGAAACAGAAGGGATCCATCTTGGCTGACTCATTGAATTCTGAAGGAGAAACTGTCTTGTATGAATATCTGATAAAATGGGTTGGAAAATCTAATATCCATAATACATGGATACCAGAGTATGAGCTTAAAATTATTGCAAAACGAAAGCTGGATAATTATAAGGCAAAGTATGGGACAACAACAATAAATCTTTGCGAGGAGCAATGGAAGATTCCTCAACGAGTAATTGCTGTCCGGTCTACTTCAAAGGGTGCAAATGAGGTTCTTGTGAAGTGGACCGGTCTCCCATATGATGAGTGCACTTGGGAAAGGATAGACGAGCCTGTGATCTTGAAATCGTCCCACCTGATTAATCTGTTTCACAAATTTGAATACCAAGCTTTGGAAAGAGATGCTACTAAGGATGACATATTGAAGAAACAAAATGAATATCAACAAAGTGATATATCCTCTCTCACAGAGCAGCCTAATGAGCTCCAAGGAGGCTTATTATTTCCTCATCAAATGGAAGCCTTGAATTGGTTGCGCAAGTGTTGGTTCAAGTCCAAAAATGTTATTCTTGCTGATGAAATGGGGCTTGGGAAAACAGTTTCAGCTTGTGCTTTCTTGTCCTCAGTGTACTTTGAGTTCAAAGCTAGACTGCCTTCACTTGTCTTGGTTCCTCTTTCAACACTGCCAAATTGGATGTCAGAGTTTTCACTGTGGGCACCTGAACTAAATGTGGTAGATTATCATGGGAGTGCCAGATCAAGAACCATAATTCGTCAATATGAATGGCATGCCGGTGATCAAAATGGTTCAAATAAAAAAACTTCGTACAAATTTAACGTTCTCTTAACCACTTATGAGATGGTTCTTGCTGATTTGTCCAATCTGCGATGTATTCCATGGGAAGTTCTTGTGGTGGATGAGGGACATCGTCTAAAAAACTCCAGCAGCAAGCTTTTTGGCTCACTCAACACATTTTCATTTCAGCATCGTGTGCTTTTAACTGGTACTCCTCTTCAGAACAATATAGGAGAGATGTATAATCTACTCAATTTCTTACAGCCAACATCCTTCCCATCATTGTCTTCATTTGAGCAGAAGTTTAATGATCTTACCACAGCTGAAAAGGTAGAAGAATTGAAGAAACTTGTTGCACCACACATGCTCCGGCGGCTTAAGAAAGATGCCATGCAAAATATTCCTCCTAAAACAGAACGCATGGTTCCTGTTGAGTTGACATCTATTCAAGCAGAGTACTATCGTGCAATGCTGACAAAAAACTATCAAATTTTACGCAACATTGGAAAAGGTGTAGCACAGCAGTCAATGCTCAATATTGTGATGCAGTTGAGGAAAGTATGCAACCATCCTTATCTAATACCTGGTACTGAGCCAGAATCTGGCTCATTGGAATTCCTCCATGAAATGCGGATAAAGGCTTCTGCAAAGCTAACTCTTCTCCATTCTATGCTCAAGATTTTGCACAAAGAAGGTCATAGAGTTCTCATATTTTCACAGATGACAAAGCTCTTGGATATCCTTGAGGATTATTTGACGATTGAATTTGGCCCCAAAACATATGAGAGAGTTGATGGATCTGTTGCTGTGGCTGACCGTCAAACAGCAATTGCACGTTTTAACCAAGACAGAACTCGTTTTGTGTTCTTGTTATCAACACGATCCTGTGGTCTTGGAATCAATCTAGCTACTGCAGATACTGTGGTCATCTATGATTCAGACTTCAATCCCCATGCTGATATCCAAGCAATGAATCGAGCACATAGGATTGGACAATCAAATAGACTTCTAGTATACCGGCTGGTTGTCCGTGCTAGTGTTGAAGAACGTATATTGCAGCTAGCTAAGAAGAAATTGATGCTGGATCAGCTTTTTGTAAATAAATCAGGGTCACAGAAGGAGGTGGAAGATATCCTAAGATGGGGAACTGAAGAACTTTTTAGTGATTCTTCTACCATAATTGGAAATGGGTTAGGTGAAAATCTCAACAATAAAAATAAAACTGATGCAGTTTTTGAAATAGAGCAGAAACATAGGAGGAAAACTGGTAGCCTTGGGGATGTATATAAGGATAAATGTGCAGAAATCTGTACCAAGATAGTTTGGGATGATAATGCCATTTTAAAGTTGCTTGACCGATCAAACCTCCAGTCAGATTCACCTGATAGCAATGAAGCTGAATTGGAGACTGATATGCTTGGTTCAGTGAAGGTAAAATTTAGTCACTATATTATATAGGCTTACATATGTTTTAGGTCCTTGTAAAATTAGTATCTTGTTTTTCAACACTAATTTACTCCAGTACTTTTTTTAAGTCACCCTATTTCTTCAGTTTACTTCCTGTTTAAAAAATGTTAACATTGCTGAAAGAATTTCAGTCTTGCTTTCATATCATTTAGTTTCTAATAGTACTCCCTTCATCCCCTTGGATTCTTTATCATTTAATTCTACTGTCAAGGGAAAATATGGAAAGTAACTAACATTCTTACATTTGTGTAAAACTCCGTGGAATCTTAAATATCAGGAATCAAAAGGGACGGAGGGAGTACTACACTATCTGTCTCTTTTTACTGTTCCCATTTGCTTTTTGCAAAAGGTTTAAGGAAATGTGATATTGCTTGGTTGAGAATTATGAAGAGGAGAGAAACAATGTGATAAACACAATTTTTTCCTTAAAAGGAAAGAAGATTCATTAGGAATATCCCAAAAAGGACAGTAGGAAGGATAAAAAAGGGACGGAGGGGGGTTTATTTCATTTCTTGAGAGCCATCTAGGCATAAATTGAAACTGGTGGATTTATCTAAGAAAGTATACTAGCACAAAGGCTTACATTGAGTTTAGCATTCACTACAAAATTACAAAGAACTGGAGAAATAGAAACAATCTTAAATTCAGCTAGGTTGATATATTTAGCTAGTATATTTGTATATGTGTGCTGAATAGTTTAACCATTGATATATGTTCATGTGAAAAGGTAACTAGTGGATAATGTATATGGTGTGCTTCTGTAGCTATGATTATGGTGGTGAACTCTTTTTTTTTTTTTTGCAATAAAAAAATTGGTATTCATCAAAGAGGAAAGTCATAGTTCAAGGACTAGATGATTGTATTTATGAGTAGGAATATAGTCAATAAATGGGAGAGAAAAGCTTGAAGAACAACCAATTATAGATCTTGAAGTACAATTCTTTGTAGTTATCACAATTCTGAAAGGCAATGAACACTACAAAAACCCTCTTGTTCTTGTATTTCAAAACAAAACTTTTTTTTCAAGCAGTCTTCTGAGTGGAATGAAGAAGTGACCGAAGAACAGCCTGATGAATTGGAACTTACCGTGGTGAATGATGATACAAGTGACCAGAATTCTGAGAAGAAAGAGGATAATACAGAAGAAAATGAATGGGACAGACTTCTGCGGGTGAGGTAAAATGTAGTATTTACAGTGACAATTCAAACATCTTCTGTTACTCTGTTATTGATGGTCAGCTTGAAATCCCTTTTCCCTTAGCTACTAAAGAAGTTTTTACTGTTGTATTAATTTGTAAGAGAAATATATGCCACATAAAAACCAATATTGGTTCATATATTGGTTCATATAAAAAACATAAGATTACTACTTACCAATATGGTGTATAATTTCATTTGTCACAAGTAATGACACAGACCTAGTCCGGAACATGTGTTTGCACAAGTTATAATTACCTGGAGGGTGGAGTAAAATTGAACCTGATAGGATTTGAATAACCCTGGAGGTCTCCCTTGTTCATTGCTTGCCAAGTCCTCTTCGATCTACCTCTTCCTCTAGCCACATGCCAAATCACCATTAGATCAACCCCAGGATGCTCTATTGGTCTTTTCTCCACATGTCCAAACCACCTAAGACGCGTCTCCACCATCTTTTCTACAATAGGTGCCACTCCAAATTTAGCTCTCATATCTTGAGTTCTTATTCTATCCATACGCGTATGACCGTTCATCCAACAAAGTATCTTTATTTCCGCCACACTACCCTTGTGTTCATGTTCACCCTTTGCAGCCCAAAACTCTGTTCCATACAATATAGCTGGTCCAATAGCAGTACAGTGGAATTTTTTCTTTAGTTTAAAGGTATTTTTGTCACATACAAAGCCCGAAGCACTCTGCCATTCTGATTAATCAGCTTGAATATTGTGGTTAACATCATCTTCCATTTCTCTATTGTCTTGAAAAGATATTTAAATCTCTTCACTTGTGGTATAGTATTTTCTCCAATTTTCACCTTGATGTTACTTTTTCTCCTTTTGTTGCCAAACTTGCACTCCATATACTCTGTTTTAGTGCGACTTATATGCAAGCCATGTAACTCCAAACCCTCTCTCCATGCATCTATTTTCCCATTCAGACCCTTTTGTGATTCACCAATAAGGATGATATCATCAGCAAAAAACATGTACCATGGTATGGGTTCTTGGATATGCTCGGTAAGAACGTCAAATATTAGGGTAAAAAGATATGGGCTTTATGATGACCCTTGGTGTAATCCTACATTGATGAGAAATTCCCTTGTTACCCCACTTTGACTTCTCACGCTCGTTGTAGCATCATCGTACATGTCCTTAATGGCACAAATATAAGCAATCCTTACTCCTTTTTTCTCTAACACCTTCCACAATACTTTTCTTGGTACCCTGTCATATGCCTTTTCCAAATCAATAAAAGCCATGTGTAAATCTTTCTTCACACTTCGGTACCTCTCTATCATTCCCCTCACCAAGTATATATAGCCTTCGTAGTTGATCTTCCTTGCATAAAACCAAACTAGTTCTCTGTCACAGAAGTCTCTTGCCTCAACCTCCGTTCAACCACTCTTTCCCACAACTTCATCGTTGGACTCATAAGCCTTATCCCTCTATAGTTTTCACAACTCCGAATATCTCCCTTTTTCTTGTATATAGGAACCAAACTGCTCTTCCTCCATTCGTTAGGCACCAAATGCTCTTTCCTTCTAAACCTTTCTAAACTTCAATCGGGATATTGTCTGGGCCCACTGCTATGCTATTCTTCATCCATGTTAGGGCCTCCTTTACTTCAATTATTTGAATTATCCGATAAAAATTGAAGTTTTGATCCTCCTTCCTCCTGTGTAGTCAATTGGAGCATGAGGAATTCACATGTCCCTCGTTAAACAGATCATTGAAGTAGCTCTTTCACCGGTCATTTATGATTTCATCAGAGACCAAAACATCATCATTCTTATCTTTAATGCACTTAAATTGGTCCAATTCCCACATCTTTCTTTCTCGACCCTTTGCAATCTTATAAATACATCTTTCCCTTTTTTTTCGTACCCAACAACTGGTAAAACCCTTCATACGCTCTCATTTTTGCTTCACTTACAGCCACTTTTGACTCCGTTTTAGCTGTATTATACCTTTCCCAATTTTCCACATTACAGACTAAATACCATTCCTTGAAATGTTCCCGCTTTACCTTTACCTTATCTTGCATACTAGTGTCCCACCACCATGATTCTTTGTCTCTTGCATTAGCATCTTTAGTTTCTTCAAGGGTTTCTTTACCTTTCTCTTAGCCTTTGCTCCCACCCAAATGGTTTCCTGCAAGCATAGAATATTAATCCTTCTCCGTGTCATAGCATCTACCAACTCCATAGACTTGCCTGTCAGTGTGCCTATGTTCCATGTCCCAAACCGCAACTTATCTTTACCTTTACCTTTTCCTTTGCGAACTACCTTATTTACCCACGTCCGTTCACCAAAATGTGGGAACCCTTGCTTATTTTGCATTAAACCTGGGCACTGATGCAGCGGCCCTTGCTCATGTGACACTGTACTCAAGCCATACAGTGTGTTGCTTCTGGGCAACAAACTAATTTTAGCGCAATATCGTGTTTGATCCATGTCATGAAGATTTGAGTATTTGACAAAGTTTTACATTGGTTATCGAGACCTAACACAACCCTCCTCTTTAATACGGGCTTGGGACCGGCTATGTAACGTAGTTACATAGGCAAAGTTTCTGAAAGTAAGAATAGTTTAATAAAAGAAATATGACCCCTCTACTTGCTTTCACACCAAAACTTTCCAACCAAAAGGCCAAGTATTCTCTTTGTGGTCCCAAACTCCCATTAAGTCTAAAATGTCTTTCATCTTGTCTCTTTCACCCAGTTTGTTAAACTCTGCCCAAGTGGTTTGGGATTCCAATGTTGGCTTACTTCCATGCAGACTATGCTAACACTGCACTGGTTTTTATAACCATATCATTATCAACAATATAACAGATTTGTTGATGTCTAAATACGCTCTCTCTCTCTCTCACCACACTTGTGAAATACAAGTTATTGATACATTGTTGGTCTCTTTCATTATGTTACTTGAGTGCTCATTGATTTTGTAGATGGGAGAAACACCAAAGTGAGGAGGAAGCAGTTCTTGGGCGTGGTAAACGCCAAAGGAAGGCTGTTTCCTACCGGGAGGCTTATGCCGTACACCCAATTGAAACTTTAAGTGAGGTACTATCTTTGGTCTCTCGTGCTAAATCTATATGTGTACTTATGCATTAAAAACAGCTAAGTGAACATACATTAAAGTCATTTCTGCTCGGGCATTACAGAATTGGGCTGAAGAAGATCAGCAGCCGAAACCCGAGCCTGACCCCGAGCCAGAGAAGGAGTACACTCCGGCAGGAAGAGCACTGAAGACAAAATAGTAAGTTCCATTTTCAAATTTATATTATTTTAAACATTTCACTCCTTTGACACAAAAAGATGAAATTAATTGCTGCAAATTCATAGGTAGTACTCCCTTGTCCAAGTTGTCCCATAAAAGGAGTCTTATTTCTAACTTATTTTTGTTCCCCAATTTTTAAAAAAACTCATCAGGTTTTATGTTTTTATTTAAAATATCCCAAACAAGTTGAACGTGTTACATTTAGTTAAAAAGAAAAGTGCACCGTTTACCCCCGAACTCTTTAGAAATTGCATGGTTTATCCCTGAACATTAAAAAGTGCACCATTTACTCTTGAACTCTTCAAAAATTGCACGATTTACCCCTAAACATTAAAAAGTGCACCAAATACTCTTGAACAATTTAAAATGTTGCATTGTTGGTCCTAAAATGTTAGATAGGGAGTGCATTGCTCCCACGCACGAGAATTGCGAGTATGATTCATCTGGCCCTTGTCAATTTTCCAAAGTACCCTTCCCCAAAATTACTGTCTTTATTCAAATGTTTAGGGGTAAACCGTGCAATTTCCGAAAAGTTCAGGGGTATTTGGTGCACTTTATGGTATCCAGGGGCAAACCGTGCAATTTCTAAAGAATTCAGGGGCATTTGATGCACTTTTTAATGTTCAGGTGTAAACCGTGCAATTTTTGAAGAATTCGGGGGTAAACGACTAAACGGTGCACTTTTCTCATTTAGTTAAACTAATATGGAGTGCATTAAACTAAAAATATAGCTATATTTGATGGTTTTCAAATTTCAATAGTTGTACCTTACTAAAATGAAAGAGTTGTACCATTGTGAAAGCAGAATTTTTTTGTGGGACAGGAGTATAATAGTCTATGATATAAAATAAGGAAAAGAAAGGCCACAGGAAGTTTGACGCCTATAGGTGTATATCTATAAAGGAAAAGGTTGGATGACCAAAACAGTTAGAGCAAAATTGCATGAAAAAATTGGGAAAGAGGAGGCATTGGGGTGCTATGCTCTACCTCGAAAGCTTTCTTGGCCTGGTTTGGGCTGTTAGCTTTGCCTCAATATCTTGATATTCTTGTTTTGTCTTTTGAATTTCACTGATATGTTTGCAAATTGCAACTGCAATTAGGGAACTAATTTTTTTCTCTTCCACCTTGTATTTTCTGTTGGAACAGTACTAAGCTTCGTGCTAGACAAAAAGAAAGATTGGCTAGAAGACATGACATGGAAGCTTCTGCACCAAGTGAAAGATGTACTGGAATCCAGTTCCTTCAGTCACAGGCTCAGGATGGAAATTTAACACCTTTATCCATTCAACATAGTGAAAAGAATTCTTCAGCTCTATTCATAGATGCTAGTAGTTGTGGGCAGACTCCGGCCGTGCCAAAAAACAAGACTGATTCAAACATAAGAACTGTAAAATTACCAAAGTGTAAGTTGAGTGAACATCTTGGTCAACCTCTCCATGATTCTCAATCAAATCCTGTAGAGGGCATAAGTTGTCTGAACTCAGAGGGCAACATCCCCCTTGTGATCGGATTATGTGCTCCAAATGCCTACCAAATGGAATCATCACAGAAGAAGTTTACAAGATTGAACAACCGAAAAAACAGGGTGAATTCGGGATCTGAGTTGCTGACAAGTACTGCTGCTTGGCCCACATCAGATGAGATGGGTACTAAATTTCATGAAAATGCATCTGGTAAATCTAAAATGGCAGATACTCCACTTGATGTCTCCCAATCTCGGTCAAAGATGAGCATCCCTGATTTGTATCATCCAATTAATTCAGTATGTTATCTTCTCTGCTCCATCCCC